CTCTTGCGTAAGAATAATTGGAAATCGGCTCGGCCTTTTCACCGGTAAGCGACCGATCATCGATCCTCCTTAGACTTCCAAAGCGATCGCTTGATTTTCCTCCGAACGAAGTCCTCTCGCCTATCTCGGCCCGGAGAGTTTCGACGTTCTCCGACGAGGTCCATGGCCCCGGTGGCGGGTAAACGACGGCGTGTCGGACACAGAAGAAACGATCTACAGTCTGGTGACAGTCTGGATCGGTGTTCGGTATCGCAGGCTCCTCGAGGCGAGGCGCGACGCTTTCCAGGTATATCGCCATGGATCCGTGGACTTTCCGATCTTCTCGGCCGTTGCATATCGATGCCCGGTTGCCGCTCGCTCTCATTTGAATAATATGAAAAATCGAGGATCCCGGCCCTCTCTCGCTCGCGGTCCTTCCTTCCGATCCCGGTGAAGAAGAGCCAGGAAGGAAGATAGGTAGACAGATAAATGGAGTAGGGTGGAGAGAACCCGGGAGATGGACGGATATATGGCGAGCGAGAGAGGATAGAAGAGAGGAGCGAGAGCGAGGCGGCAGATGCGGGCAGAGGGAGGGGGGAGGATAGAGCGCCGGAGAGGAGAAGAAAGACGGAGGATCGGTGGAGTGAGTTAGAGCCGGCAGGCAACGCTATGCATACCGTCACACCCAGCGACACGCTCCAAATTTGAAATTTAAATTTGGTACGTCTCACGGGACCGCGTCGTACACCGGTTACTCACACGTGCGCGCTCCTACGTAGCCGAAGCGCGAGAGCGCGAGAGTGCGTGGAACCGTGGCGAGGGGGATATCGAACGAGGAGGGCGGCCAAGGAGCATCGGGAGAAGAAACATCGGGTGCCGGACGACGTATCGTCATTTTCACGACGACCCCGAGCCGAGGCGGTTCCCTCGTTTCCCTCGTTTCCGCCTGCCCGTCGAGAGAGCACCCTTTGGGAATAGTAATTCGACGCTGACCCCGGGACTCGTCCCTTCGCGCGCCGATACCGGCAATCTCTTCTCCGCTCCTCGGGCCAATGTGTCAGCCAATGAACCGCGCGAACACCGCGTCGCTCGACACGCCTCGTCGATCTACCCGCACCTATACGCTCTCGCCGAGAAAAGTCCTCGGGTATATATTCACGCTCCACGCCAGTCCCGGAAGTCACGGCAATTCTCACGATATCAATTTGTCCCCGAGACACGCCGATTGACTTTCGTTTTAGGTTTCCGATCTCCTCGACTCTATTCGCCTTCCTATTCGAGGGGGTTACAGTAATGTCTCCCCTACCTACGCTCAAATTGTCCACTAAAATGGATCATTTGGGGTAGAGGAGATACGATTATTCGAGCCTTGCGGCTCGTTTTTATAATTGCGGATAATTTATGACTATAAAAATAAATCGCAAGCCTCGAACAATCGTATCTCCTCTTCCCAAATTGTCCATTTATGTGCGCAATCTGGGCGTCAATTAGAGAGACATCACTGTTTTCAACAACTATATTCAACTATATTATACTATATTCAATTATATTATACTATATTCAATAACTATATTATACTATATTCATCTATATTCATCAATATTCAATAACTATATTCAAGCCCATTGAACCTAGCAGTGTCAACCCCACAGTAATCGGCACCGCCCCACCGTGCGCAACGAATTCGTGAAATTATTTCTTCTGTCAAATTTTTTTTTTTCTGCGAAACAAAATGTTTAATACATGGGAAAAATTGGAAACCCGGACAATTTTCGTGCGACACGAATTCGATGAACTCGCACTGTCATCGTTATACGGGTGTTTACCTTATTAATATCTTTTTAGCAGCAGAGCCGACTCGGATCAGAGTTTGGGATATGTTCTGTCGGACCACCCTTCNTTTATGACTATAAAAATAAATCGCAAGCCTCGAACAATCGTATCTCCTCTTCCCAAATTGTCCATTTATGTGCGCAATCTGGGCGTCGATTAGAGAGACATTACCCTGTACTCGCTGTTCCGCGTTCTATATTTTCCCTCGGAAAGGTTTCCGTTTAACTCCCGGTGCCGCGGTATTTGCATCTAGGAAGCGGATAACATCGATAAATTAACATATGTACGAGCATGTCGGGCTGTCGTCGTTGATCGCGCGATCGGGCCCGAGGTGCGGACCTCCGTGCTCCATCATCGAGCAGGAAGAAAAAGCCAATAAAACGGCGCCGTATTATTCTCGTCACAGTACCAACACGGCTAACTTTCGTGACACGTGTCGTCCCGAGATGCCATAACACACATACGTGACGCACGCACGATGCGCCGCGATGCATCCACCGGGCTCTTCTAGCCCGCGCACTTTCTCTTTTCTTTGGAACGCGGAGACGGTCGCGTCGGCCCACCTCCTCGCTCGAGGATTTTCCATTCGAACAGCTCCGGGAGTCTCGATTTTACCAATAGCCCCGGATGGCGCGGGGCTAATTATCGGCGGCGGCGTCCCATCGCGGAGCAGCCGAATACCGGATTGTTTCCTTACCAGCAGAGCGGAAGGATTCCGTTCCTCTCGCGGGGAAATCCTCTCTCAGACGACGGTCCCGGATAGCGGGTCAATCTGGGAGCTTTACCATTCCGGAAGTTTATCGAAGCCGAGGTGGCGAGAGAAACTTGGATCTTACTTGGCGAAATTCGACGGTGGCGGCGGCGGCGGTGCCGCGTTCTTGGATATATCCGGAGTACTTCTCGAGGGTGCTCGAATTAGGCCGGCGGGCTGCAAAGCCCATTACACACAATGAGACGACTTAGAGTAGGACCGACTCGAGTGGCTCGGGGTCGAGGGTCTGTTCGCGAGAATTCACGGATACCTATATACCGCGTCCATTACGAAACAGCCGGATCCGCGGGAGATTCTTCGGATGGCTCGCGGATCCGTATCGCGCGGCTCGGCGACCCCGTTAATCCGGCGAGCAAACTCGAGCGGGCTGGAAGAGGAGCAACGGTTCGACGGGCAGAGTCGTGTCCTGGTCAGGGAGAGCGGGCAAAGCGATCGGAAATAATTTTCGACGCCGCATAATTACGGCGGGAGAGGATTCACGGCGAAAATTCGACGAGGGAGGGGGGCAGAGAAGGAAACGGGGCGCGGGGCGGTCGGCGCAGGTGGTGGCGGCGGGACAATTATTTTCAGCGGCACCCCCCGTGTTTCGACGGTGTCTCGATGAGGTCGGATAATCGCGGTACGCGTGAGAGCCCCTGGGATTCTGCGTGGCTCGTCGAAGCAGTCGGTGGCAGTAGATAGGGGTAGTGACGATGGCAAAGAGTCGACGGGGGGATCGAGGGGCTGGCAGAGGCGAGCGCGCGGTGGTGGTGTTGGCGGCGAACGGCGAGGGGGTCGGATGGATTTTCCAGCGCGCAGTTTTCACCTTTGAGATTCCATCCGGTGCGGCCTGGCGCGGCGGCGGCAGGGGTGGGCGCTGTGCTGCACCCGCCGCGCCGCGTCGGCCGAGGTACTTTGGTCTAGGAATTCAAGGACCCGGAGTCTGGGGAGGGATCGACGACGTCGACGACGGCTACGACGACGACGACGACGCTCGCGCCGGTCGGGGGCGGTGCGGCTGATAGCTGCGTGGCACTGCTGAACACCGTGCGACGAGGACGCGACGCCGCTGTAATCGAGAAAAACAGAAAGGGATGAAAAGAGCCCGAGGGAGAGTGGGGCGGAGGAAGCGAGGAACGGGGGTCGAGGAGGGAGATCGTCGCGCGAAACGAAGGAAGACCGATGCGTAGAAAAGCAGAGAGGTCATTGAAGTCGCGGGGGTGGAAAAGAGAGGCCCGCGAGCTAGAGAGAGAGTGAGGGAGGGAGAGAGAGAGAGAGCCGGTGAAGAGGGTTGGACCGATAGCGCGGCACGGCGCGGCGCGGCGGTGGTGAACACCGTGGAACAAGGAGGGACGATAAAGAGGGACGAGGAGGGAGGGCTGAGCGGCCGAGTTGGTGGGAACTGGAGGGAACGAGAGGAGAAGATAGATAGCGAGAGGGAGGGACGGAGAGGGCGAGCTATTCCGAAACGGGGTGAAAGCCGTGGATCGGAGAGAGACGATCAGCCGAGAGCCAGAGGGAAAGAGGGAAAGAGGGTGGGTTGTAGCAGCAGCAGCCGAGAGCCGAGAACCGAGAGCCGGTCGATACGACCACCACTACAAACGTGTCGCAGGACACGACGCACAACCTGCCGGCTGTGCTGCGTGTGCAACGATACGCGCGACGCGACCGACCCTTCTTCTCCCTCTTTCCCTCTTTCGCCCCGGTTTCCGCACCCGCCCCCGCCGAGCCCAAGCCGAGCCCCCTCCGCCGCCGAGGGCTTTCTCACCCTTCTCGTATAGGACGAGAACGAGAGTCGCCGAGAAGCAAGGTGTTTTAGCACGGTCTCGAGGATCCGCCATTTTGAGAGGGAGTCGTTTCCCTCATCCCCCTCGGAACGTTGACTTTTTACGGTAAAATCTTTGCCGGCGCTACGCCGCCCGCTCGTCTCGACACACCGGCGCGGCTCGGCGAGAGGATTTCCGCGCACCGGAGGATCACCTTGACCGCCGACGATCGGCCGCCGCGTGCCTCCGCATTCGTCCTCCCGACTTTTTGTCCTCCTCTCCTTTCCGGTCGGATCGGCCGCAACCCGCTCTGGGTCACCCGTGACCCGCGTCTCCCATCGGCGACGGGAAAACGCATCCGTTTCCACTCGTCGGCTTATGCATTTATGATACGCGAAGGTTCCTGTCGTTAGAACCGTGAATCTTGCTACAAAGAGATACACGGGGGGTGTAACGAACCGCTTAGCGCGATCAATGCAAATTATTAATTTAACGCGATTGCGTCCGGAGGTTCGTCCCGAGCAATAAGAACTGTGATACGGGTGAATAACGAGCTGCAGGCGGCGGCGGCGGCGGCGGCGATGCGCTTTGAATGGAAGCGAGCCGCGGCAACGTTTCTATCGCGGCGCGATACCGTTCTCGTCTAACTTGGCCTATGTCTTTTGTTGCAGTTGTACTCTTGGACACGACACAGGAGGAGAAGCTCGAGTGGACAAAGTACCCGTTCGGGTCGCAAGTGAGCACCCCAGGGGTGAGTATCGCAATCGACTCGATGCAGCGTGTTAGAGAGGCTAGCTCGATATCGTCTGGGGATCCCGGTAAAGAGGATTGCGCGAGATTCGCCGATCGGGTCTCGGGAACACGTCGGAAGTAGCCGAGCCCCGGCTCGTGCGGGGAATTCAAGGTGGTCTCCGGAGCGGTTGGAGCGCAAAGAGCTCGAGAGCTCGCGCACGGTGGTGTTCGTGCGTCGGTACGGTGCCGTGAAAGCTCTTCTCGCGGGGGGGAAAAAGAATGGCAAGAGTCGCCGACACCTTTTCGGGTGGTGGGAAAAATCTCGTTGTCCCGGGGCCTCGGGGCCCCGGAGGAGCCCCGGGGTCCGAAGTCCCGGGGCCCCGAGGCCCCGACTCTCGACCGGTGCTGTCCGAAGGGGACAAAATGGACCCGGTAGAGCGAGAACAGCGGGTTCCGGGGGTACCAGAAGCACTTTATGGTCTCGGTGCGCGCGGCATACGTGGGCTCCCGCTGGCCGGTGCGCTCTCTCGGCGCCATGTTTGTTTTTCAGTTGTTAAGCGCGCAGCGGGCCGCCAGACAGGTTTAAATCAGCCACTACCTCCTCCTCCTCCTCCTCCACTACCACCACCACCTCCTTCACCACCGACCAGCCGGCACCTCTCGCTCCCTCGGACTCTGCTTTCTCTCTCGAATGCGCGCGCGTTCCTGCTCTTTTGCTCTTTCCGTCTTCCTCTCGCCTCTCGATGTTCCTCTTTCACTCTCTCTTTCTGTCTTCTATCTCTCCTCTCTCTCCTCTCTCTCTCTCTCTCGCTCTCTCTGTCTCTCTCTTTCTCTCGCCCTGGTCTCTCGTCTCGCGCACCGTCGGACCAAGAGTCAGTCCGCTGGGTAACAAATTGCTTTTTGTTTGAACGGACAAATTAGAGAGACGGCCGCCGGATAGGGAGGAGAGGAGCGAACGGAGCGAGAGAGAGGATGCGTTTATTTAAACGTCGTAGGACGTATAGTTTCCTGCGCGCATGTATAATACGGCCGCCGGATGGTCTGTGTGCGAGCGCGTGTTGACCAGCGCCGCTGAAAATTTCACTCCCAACCCGACGACTCCTCCTGCGACCCTACGTGGGTGTCGAACCTCGGATATCTCGGCTTCGGCACACGATGCACGCTGATAAACTGTCTGAACCGCTTTACGCGTCGGCCGGGACCGTTCGAGGAGCCTCGAACATTGACCACCGGCCACCTTTCCAACCGATGCTCGTGACTCGTCCACTTACCTGCATCAAACGCGTTAGAGATTTTACGATCGAGCCCGACGAACATCGATAATCGACGATAAACACTGGTATCCCGGTTGTGTCGCGAGATTCAAAGACTTACGGTAATTAAAGCTTGCTTGCACGCTGCCAACAGCCTCGTTGCACGGCCACCATGCCGGAGAGATACTTCCGACACTGACCTTCGAGCGATGCCTGCAAAAAATTGCAGGCATCTCGAGGATCTTGTAAAATTCAGCCGAAGGCATCTCCGAACCGCTCGTAAAAAGAATTAATTAGTTATTTGTTTTTTTTTGGCGAGGTGCTCGAGGCATACAATATCCTCCTTTTTACGCCGAAGCAAAAACAATTCAAAATTAAGAAATGAAAAAGCCTGATTGCACGAGCACGGAGCCCGATCCCAAAGAAAAATCGATGAAACTAGTTGAATTAGACGGAAGAAGACCGAGTCGGTTGCGCGTGCATCGAACGCGCGCACAACCGTAACCCTTTGTATTCCCGAAGAGGTCGAACGAGGCCGGTTCCACCTGCTCGGATGCTGGCGTCCGGAATCGACCTCGTTGCTTCGCGCTCGATTCGACGAGGGGGAGGAAAAAAAAAAGAGAAAAAGAAGTGAAATTGGACGAGATCGGGCCGAAAGGATATCGGACGCGTCTTTCTCCCCGGTTGGCTTTCGGCGTCGATCGTTAGTGCGGTGCCGCTAATCGGGCAGCGTAACGCTCCGTTTGAAAAGGTTCTTTGAGGCTGCTGTTGATTTTTCTAGCTGCTAAACGTCCTCGGTTTCCCCCGGATGGAAAAGGGGGCCGGTATGCCATGCGCGCACGGGAGCTCGATATTTTTCCCGTGAAACCAGACGAGGAAACCGGGACCCGGTGTGCTGCCGCTGCTCTCGTCCTCGAGTACTCGAGCTCACTTCGCACCTCCTCTGTCTATATCTACTCGCGCGCGGCACGAGAAACGGAAGTGGAACGTCCAAATATGTGCTCGTGGTTTCGTCCGGGCGCGTGTTGTCTCAAGGACCTCCGCACGGTTTGCGGGCTCCCGAATGCTGTGCTGACCCGGGGAACTTTTCGTTGGCTCTGCTCCGTTCTCTGCGTTGTTCCCCCCCGCGTCCCTCCGCGGGTCCCCGTGGGTTCCCGGACCCGTCAGCCTTCGTTTCTTCTGGCGGACACCTAACGAGGCCAGAGCGTCGATTCGATGGACGAGCTCTCCGAGCCGCGCGCGCGTTCCGTCCACCGATCATCCTTCGGAAACAGAAAGTAATCGATCCGGCCGGTAAAGAGAGGCTACCCCTTCGAATTCCTCGGGGTCTTAGCTCATCGCGATCGAGCCGGATGACTCGAGCCGAACGTCATCGCGATTGGAAGCTCGGACTCGGACTTCTCCCGTGCAACCGGACTCCGTAAATAATTAACGGTCGTTCCGCCGAACGATTTCCTGGCCGACTGCTTTTAATATTTACGAAGTAGTCTACGAGCGAGCTTAATCGCCAGACGTATTATTATTCGCGATTATCCGCCGCTTTCTTGCGTTCGCGATTACCCGCGAGAACACCCAGCGATTCTACGAAGCGCGCGCGCGCTCTCTCTCTATCTTTCTTCCTCTCCCCCTCTTTCTCTTGGTCCCTCCGCTCCTCTTCGGATTCCATCGATCCTCGACCTTAGAGACCGTATCGATCTCCGAGAGCTCGATCCAGCGACAGTGAGATCCACCGCAGAACGAAAGAGAGCCCGTTCGTCGTCCACGCGAGCGTGGAATTAACCTCCGCGCTCGCGTTCCATCTTCCGCAGGAATCCGTCGGGTCGCGTCGCCTCGGAACGTCTTCTGTCCGTTTCCTCGGCTCGAGGAAAAATCCCGCGAAGGACGGGAATCCTCTTAAAGTCGGCCAGCAGCTCCTTGATCCGCTTCCAACGACGGTTTTTCCAAGGGGAGTCGCGCGAACGGAATGCGAGATAGATCGGGGGGAGAGGCTTTCGGGAAAGAGGCCCCTAAGTCGGCCTAATCAGTTTTCTCCGACGGGGATTAACGACGCTGCCGCGTATCTACCCCGCAGCCGATCGACCGGCGCCGCCGTCCCTTTCGCGAGATTAGGCCACCCCCGCGCGACAAATTTTTTTTCACCGGACAACCACCTGTCCACTTAGCTCGGACGTTTTTTAGTCGGCAAGCTCTCGGAAGGAGTTCTCGAAGATTGGAGGAAGATCGTGATCGATGGAGCAACGCTCGAATGTTTTCTACCGTTAGTGGAAGCTCGAAGGGATGTTCCGTCGACTTTCGAGTCCTGAAAACCTCGGCCGACGGTTAATTAAATCGGCGCGGAGGGCGAGTAGTGGTACCGGGAAAAGGGTTGGCTCGGTGTTTGCCGGTATTCTTAGGCGGTTCTAATCACTCTGGTTCCCCGATCGGAGGCCAAGGTTTCCGCGCAATGAGTGCCGGCGCGGGGTGCGGGGGTTATTAATATACAAGACCGTAGGGCGAACAGCGTCAGAACAAACAGCCCAAACAGAATTAGCTCGGAGTATTTGAACAACCTGATGGGGAAAAGGGTTGGCGTGCGTGGCGAAGCGAGACGGCGCTTTGATGGCGTTCCTGGTGAGCCTCGAAACTCGCATATAAAGGGATCTCGAAGATACCAGCTCGGTCTCTCTCTCTCTCTTTCTCTCCCTCTGTCTATCTATCCATCTCCCTCTTTCTCTCTTTCTTGCTTCCTCTGCCAAAGTTCGATCGGCTCGCTCCCGGTGTGCCACTAATCTGGTTCGCAGGACCTGTCCCTGGTCCTCGAGGCCACGGATCGGGACCGCGAGGACTTTAAGCGAAACAGCAAGGAGAGAAAAAAGAATGCCGGAAGGAGAGGTGGAGTCGCGCTTGAATTAATTGAGAATGCTCGAGTTTCCGAGTGACTCGATCGAGAGACGGACGCAGCGTCGCGTCCTTCCCGGTCCTCCACGTTCGCCTCATTTCCATCTTCGACGACCAGGGGAACCTCTTGCTCCCTGGCTCGGTTATTAGCAGGCTCGTCGCGCGCGTAGGTTTCTTCTCCGGGTCCGACGTGGACCACTGGCGGAGCGGATGCGCGCGCGAAGAGAACGACAGAGCGGAGAAGAAGGAGCCCAGATGTTTCCCAACCGTGTGGCGGGAACGGTAATTTTCTGGAATTTCATTCGGAAGAGAATCGAACCTTGGGATCCACGTCCGTCGATCCTCCGAGCCAGATCTCCCGATCTTTCCCCGTGGAATAAATTTATCGTCGGCTCCTCGGCGCGGCTCGTTTCCCGGTGTCGTGTAACCGTCGCGCGTAGGTGAGGGCCGACGAACGTTTAGAAAGTCCAATAAACAATGACGGGACAATTTTGGGAAACACCGGTCGTACCGTTCGCCGTGTACTTTATGCTCGATGCCTCGTTAAGCGTAAATTATCGACGGTATGCGCCGGCCCGATACGCTTAAACCGTGGTCCCGAGGAGACCCGGGGAACCGAGGACATCCGATCCACCGTAGAACACCGTGGAAACGTCACGGTAATAGTCAGAAACGGGTACGCGAAGCGATTTATCTCCACGGACGGTGCCCGATGGAACGGGTCGCCGAGATTGACCCGTCCGACGGGATATTTAAATCATTTCCCGTCTCGGGAACGACCAGAAGGACATTCGTATGCATCGACGGGCCCGGCTACAAGCTTTTCGTCCTAGTTTCGGGCTCGTGTACTCGAGGATCCGATCCGTGGAACGAGTGTAACACAAAGAGT